GGTGGTATCACAAGAAAACAAAAAAAAATTACTCCACAGTCTGACCAAAGAAGAGATTGTAGTTAAATGATCCTGGTTTATGTGCATGTGCTGTATAACACAGTTTATTTACTGGTAAGTGTACAAGCATTAACTGGGCAGTACAATGAAAAAAGTAAAAAATGGAAGGCAGAGAAGAATGATCCAACCAACAGCTTTGCATACACATCAAAGTTGTAACAGCAAAAAACTCAAATCAGAAAGCTGACACAGAAGGGTACACTATTATCAGAACCTTAAGAAAGTTTATGGAAATGTAAAGGATCGATCTACGAGAATGCAAGCACCAGTTCGCAGGCCTTCATGAGCTTACATGAAAGTTTGATAGGCCAAAATATGTCAAAAGGAACCTGGCTGACAATAGGAATGAGCATGTTGAACACTTAAAAGGCCATGATAGAGTGACTTCTAAAAGTTTGGTGGTGATTCATGAGCAGCAAAGGATACCTCTAATTGAGGGATGGAAGGAATGAAAGGAATGAGGTACAAGGGATTACTTGTGAGATCAAGCATTGAGTATAAAATAGGAAATGCTGTCTTTCCGCCAAGTACTACAGTAACATCTAATCTCCATTGCTGCTTCATTTGTTCACCAAATGCGCAATCCATGAGATTTTCATTAGGAGGCATAGTTGTGCTGAACTGTTGGACAAGCTACTATTGGACATGAAAATGGGTAGCCGCAAAACAACAGTCTAATATTGACCACGAAATGGAAAAGGAGAAAAGCAACATGAATTGGGAAAAAGAAAGCGACAATTTCAATGCATGTATCCTTCTAAGGAAAAGGGTATGCATCTTATTCATTTCATCTACTCAGAGGAACATGCTTCTTGTAAAATGTCCAATTTGCAACCGAAAGGTCTGTATTATGTGGTTCAAGAGACAGGTCACCATGTCAAAGAGGACGTAAACTTCATAGCCGCAAGCTCTAACCTCTCAACAGTATGCAACTAGAAAACAAGACGCTTGGAACGATTTGATCTACACATGCATGATAGTTTCTGATGCATGCTCCAGTTAAAGTTGCCACTTAAAAAAAATGGAAACTACAGACTATTTTCCAAAAGGATCAGAAAATCATGTTGCTGCAAATATAAACAGGGGAATAACACTGTACAAAAAGTGAGCATCTTTCAATATTTTATGCAACACAGATATTGGGAGATCATGTATCAACTTCAAAGACTTGTTTTTAACTGGCATCTAAATCTTTGAAGTTGAAATATGATCTCCGAAGACACATACATGTTAATCTGTATATCTTCATGAACTAAGATCTTTAAAGTCTACTTTCATGCAAGGAATAGGCTTGAGCAGGAGGACTGAAAATTACTATGAACCAAGCTTGAGCTCAAGTTCCAAGAGCTTGACAAGCCTGAACTCAAGTTGGCCTTTAGCTCAAGTTGAGCTTGAGTAGAGCACTAGTTGGGCCCAAATCAGCTCAATTACATCCCTACTACCCATTGTCACTTGGTCTTGCCAGATTGATCAATATAAGTATAAACTGGTTGTAATTATCTTTCCTATTACCAGTGAGAAGAACTCTTAAGGAAATCAGATAACAGTGAAAATTTTACTGCCTTTAGTAAGAGAAGTACAAATAAAAATATGAAGTAAATTCCATTTGATGCTGACTTAATTAGCCAATGACATCAGGCAAAGCAAAAGGAACCCAGTCTCGAAGAGGGGCAAAAATACTCAAAATATACATGCCTAGCATTATCCTGAAAATATGACCTTTTCTTAGTAGCATTGGAAATGAAATATATTTAAGGCAATTCTTAACACCATATCTCTCCACAGAACAATATCAGATATATATACTCTGTCACTTGGAATGACAAACCAAGACCATCTATATTCATCTCCTTCTAGTAATAATCTTAAGTTCAATTACATAAAGCTATTAGATACCAAACCATTTTATTTAGTTTAGTTTAAAGATGAACTTACCTTTTCCAATTATACAGCGCTTAAAGTCATATTGCTAAACTGCAAACATAATAGTTAGATCCGATATTCTGACTGCTTTTTCCATCTATTTGTAAGCAGCCCAGGATTTCCAACTTGGACATGTTAGATGGACTTCTCCAAACTTTCAACTCAATTGTGTTTAATCAAAGACAGCAAGCACAGCTACTAAAGTTACTGATGATGACTAATGCCCAGCGAGTTCTCGAATAGTGATGAACACAAATGCCTTGCAAGTTCTCAAATAGTGACAAACATAACAATCAGCTACAATCATTTTTCCCCTTAATCCCAAGGGTTGCCTTGGTGGTAATTCACCAAGGAATCAGTGCGAATAAGTGCACTTTAACAGCATGAGGTCCAAGGTTCTATGCCAACTATGTGAAAATCCTTGGGGCCACTAGCATGCTGCAAGGACTTGTAGTACAACAAAATAATCATAAGTAATTAAAATACAATAAATTTTTTCTTCCATATTCCATTAAGCTCACTGCTTGTGCATAGTGCATAAATTCATCACCATATACCGAACAAGAATCACACATACAAGAAAAAAGAAAAAAGAAAAGCCATTTCCGAGCCAGCGAAAATAAAAGAAGCTCCATCTTACTGAACAAGAATCACACATACCAGAAAAAGGAAAAAAAAAAAGGCGTTTCAGCCCCAGCGAATATAAAAGAAGCTCCATCTTGCACCGAAATATCATCAACTCAATCCAAGCGGCTTATGCGGTTGCAGGCATGAAGCCGACTTACTGTATACATAAAATCTCACAAAATAGCAGCCAGAAGAAGAAAAACGAAAGATATAATTGCCAGCTATAGGACTGAAAATAAAATAACAAACATTTTTCGCAAAAAAATAATTATAACACAACAGCCTCAAATTCAAGATTATAACATAAAGAAAGAGAAGAAAAGAAAATTACTATATCATCAATCATCTAAGAAAGAACATCCCAAAAAGGGGAAATGTACACCGTGTTTTCTTCTCCCTAGCGTTTATCATACAACAAAAAAAAAATCTTAAAATACACAAACAAACTCTTAAAATAATAAACACAATTTATACATGAATAGAGAGAAATTTGGAAGAAATCATACCGCCATGATTGGAAGGTGCGGAGGGAGAAAGATTGGTGTTGTATAGGAGTGACGATAGCTTTGGTAGGAATTTGAAATCTCTCGCTCTCTCTCTTTCAATCCCTTCTTTTCTCCCTCTCCGCAGGAAATGAGAATGGAAATGAAAATAAAAGAGGAAGAGGAAAGACCAGGAGAGGGAGAGGAAGAGGGAGAGGAGGAATCGAAACAGCTAGCTGTAAAGTGGGGGCCACAGAGAGGCGTAACAGCTGGCTATTATGTGGGACCATTAAATGAGAGGGCTTGGAGAGGGCTACACAGGTACGCGAGTCATTGAGTTGAATCGGTTCAATCAGTTGGGTGACTGATTCAGTATTTTTTTTTTTTTTTACTTTTTATATTTAAAAATTCATGACAATAATAAGTTATATAGAACGCACAAAATAAAAAGAAAATGTTTGGTTAACGTGGCCTCCCAAGAGAAAACTCAAGTTTTTTTTCCTTTTTTTTTAACACAAGCAAAACTACATATAATATCATAAACCTCTTCTGAAATTTCTCTTAATATCACCTGACACCTCTAAAGTTTTAAAAATATCACTTACCTCCCTTACTTTTGTTATTTGTGTAACAAAATTTTTAAAACCCTACACTACCATTTTTCTTACTAAAAAAAAATATTCCTAAACCACTTTATTTATTTCAAAAAAATCATCACCCAAAAAAAATCTCTACTAGTACTCCCACATCATAATGCTATAGCTCATAAAATATAAACTTAAAAAATAAAAAAGATATTTGCAAAGATTATACTTGTGTCAATTTAACTCTTTATGCTCAAACCAATTTCTTATTAACTGTATATTTTTTTTCTAACTTTTTCTCAAGTTTTAATATCACCTGACACCTCTAAAGTTTTAAAAATATCACTTACCTCCATTACTTTTTTATTTGTGTAACAAAATTTTTAAAAACCCTACACTACCGTTTTTCTTACTAAATAAAAATATTCCTAAACCACTTTATTTACTTCAAAAAAAAATCATTACCTAAAAAACAATCTCTACTAGTACTCCAACATCATAATGCTATAGTTCATAAAATATAAACTTAAAAAAAAATAATATTTGCAAAGAAATACACTTGTGCCAATTTAACTCTTTATACTCAAAACCAATTTCTTATGAACTTTATATTTTTTCTAACTTTTTCTCAACCCGTGCCTTTAAATTACACTGATCATTATAAAAATAAACTCAAAATAAGTAAATAATCATGCCCCACTGTATCACAATTACAAAAATTAAAAGATAAGCAAAATTCAATTTATTATAATTTATAAGTAAAATATTGCATAGTCATCCAAAAAGTGAGTATGAGAGAAGAAAGAGAACATAGTAACTTTTCTTTCTTTTTTATTTTAAGTTTTATTTATTTGATATGTGAACTATGTATTAAGTGAGCGTTAATATAATCTTTTCACAATTACTATGAGAGATAAGTGATATTTTAAAACCTTAATAATGCCAAGTGATATTAAGAGAAACGTTAAGGGAGGTTTATGATATTATCCCATAAAACTAATTTGAAAAGTGTCTAAAAGCTAAGGATGTATTAAATATGAGTGTATATATTCATATAGTAAGTTAACCAACAACCAAGAGCCTTGTGTTCAGCCTGGCAGACTAGGGATCAACCATGGCTACCGGGTTTGAGGGATACGGAGGGTAAAGGTTTGAGGGGTAAAGGTTGTGAATTGGGCTTTCTAAACCAGGGTTTGGCAAAGTCCAAATTCGGTTGACAAATTATATGGGTTTTTTAGTTTTGCACTTTTGGATTTCATGTTCAAATTCAACTCACACTATTATACAGGTTGGATACAGAAAGAAAGGGTGGCACAGGTGATTGATGAGGCTTGGAGGTTGTATGTGGAAGGATAAAAAATGTACAAAGTCACCAAGAAGATCTCAAACTGCAGAGTGGTACTGTTACAATGGAGAAACAGCTTTCAAAATGGAAACTGGGAAAGAAATAGACAAAATCAAGGCTATGATGGAGAGGCTAAAATATTCACCTGATTTCAATAAAGAGGCTATGGATGAGCTTAAGAATCAACTCAAGAAAGCATACTATAATGAGGAAATGTTTTGGTCCCAAAAGTCAAGAGTGACTTGGTTGAAGGAGGGTGACAAAAATTCACAGTTCTTTCATACTAGTGTCAAAGGTAGAAGGGGAAGGAACAAGATATCCAATGTACAAAGAGAGGATGGGACATGGACAAAGTGAGAAAAGGAAATAGGAGAGGAAGTGGCAAGTTACTACCAACATAGTCAAGGAACTGAAGGTGTTGAGGAAATTCTGAGGGGTATACCAAACACAATCATTGATCAAATGAATACTATCCCGACTAGAATTGTTACTGAGCATGAGATTAAGACTGCACTTTTCTCCATGAACCCAAACAAAGCTCCTAGTCCTGATGGGATGACACCTTTATTTTTCCAAAAATTCTAGAGTATTGTCAAATCTGATGTTGTTCAAGCTATTCAAAGTTTCTTCCATTCAGGTTTCATGCTTAGGTCTATAAACCATACGATTGTCTCCCTGATTCCTAAAATTGACATGCCTTTCAATCTTAAGCACTATAGACCCATAAGTTTGTGTAATGTCTTGTATAAAATCATTTCCAAAGTGCTAGCAAACAGACTCAAACAAACTTTGGACTACTGCAGGCAGCTTTTGTCCCAGGGAGACAAATCTTAGACAATGTCATAGTGTCCCATGAATACCTCCACTATCTAAAAAACAAAAGACAAGGATCAATAGGTTGTATGGCTTTAAAATTTGACATGTCAAAAGCCTATGATAGGGTCGAGTGGAACTTCTTGGGGGCCATCATGCAGAAAATAGGCTTTTCTGAGACATGGATCAATTGGATATGGAACTGCTTATCAACTGTCTTATACTCTTTCAAGGTAAATGGTGATCAGAAGGGTCATGTCATCCCTAAAAGAGGCATAAGACAGGGGTTCCTCTATCCCCCTACTTATTCCTAATCTGCTTAGATGGGCTATCTAATCTATTGAGAAGAGCTGAGGAGATGAAGCTGCTCTCAGGAATTAGTATCAGTAGAAGGGGTCCCTCAATATCCCATCTGTTTTTTTTTTTTTTGGTTGATAATACATTAGTTTTCTGTAAAGCAACTCCAGCTCAAGCTGAGGAGCTTATGAAGATTTTGGCAAAATATGAAAAAAGCTCAGGTCAGATGGTAAACTATAACAAATCTTCTGTTTTCTTCAGTAAGAATGTACCTGAGGTGGAAAAAGTAGAAGTGTGCAGGAAGTTGGGAAACATTCAAATGGTAAGCCAAGGAAAATATCTTGGTTTACCCATGGTCATCACAAGGTCAAAGGAACAACTATTTGGTTTCATCAGAAATAACTGTCAAAGAAGAATGGAAAGCTGGAAGAACAAACTACTGTGCATTACAAGGAAGGAAATACTTCTGAAAGCCATCACAATGGCTCTACTTACATACGCCATGTCTTGCTTCAAACTACCAGGAAGACTTTGTAAAGATATTAGTGCTATGATGGCTAGATTCTGGTGTGGAGAAGAAAGTGGAAAAAGGAAGATGCATTGGTGCTCCTGGACTAAACTTACAAAGGACAAAAGTAGAGGGGGGCTGGGGTTCAGGGACTTGCAGGATTTCAATAAAGCTCTACTTGGGAAGCAAATTTGGAGACTTGTGACATGCCCAAATCTACTGATAAGCAAGATCATGATGGCTAAGTATTATCTAGACAGGTCAATATTTCAATGCAAGGTGAGCCAAACAGCTTCATGGATTTGGAAAAGTATGACAAGTGTTGGAGAAGAAGTGGGAAGGAGCATCTGGAAGAAAATTGGGGATGGCAAGACTACCAACATTTGGGAAGACAGTTGGATCCCAAACAACAAAGAAGGGAAACCAACTACTGTTAAGCCCCAAAACTGTAGCTTACATAAAGTGAAAGAGCTGATAACAAACTTCAGGTGGAATAGACACCTGATCTTCAAAACTTTCAATGGAAAAGATGCTGAAGAAATCCTCAAAATTCCAATTAGTTTAGCAGGAAGGGCTGATTGCAGCTATTGGATAGCAAGCAATAATGGTAACTACTCTGTCAAGTCAGCCTACAAGTTGTTGAGCAAGAGGGAGAATAGCCAGCAGCAGGAAACGAGAGGGTAAGGGGAAACAAGTATTAATGGACAAAAAGAAAAGGATTGGAAGAAGATGTGGAAAATGGACATCAAAGGCGAAATGTCTGAACAAGGCTCTACTAGTGAATGAGCTAATATATTGCAGAACCAGAATGGGTGAGACAATATGCCAAGTTTGTGGTGAAAGAGAGGAGACAATAGAACACTTGTTCTTTTTCTGCAATCAAGCAAAGGAAGTATAGAGACTGGCCCCAGTGCAATGGGATGGAATTGCTCACAATAGAGGGAACTTCAACAAATGGTGGAGTGCACTGATGGGAGCAACAAGCAGAACTGAAGGACATCAGCGCCAAGCTTTAACTATTAACATTCTCTGGCAAGTTTGGAAAGCCAAGAATGAGAAGGTTTTCAACAACAGATACTGTCATCCACTTGACATTGTACAAAAAGCTCATCTAGAATGGCTAGAGTACACTGAAGTGCAAAGTAGAGATAAGCGAGAGAGCAGTCAGGAAACAACATCAAGGGATGAAGAGGAACTATATGACAATGAAGACAGCAACATGATGATCATTGTAGTGGAGGTCAGCCAACAAAAGGAAGGAAAACCTTTAGGCATTGGCATAGTGGCTAAACAAGGCAACAACATACATGCTGCATGGGCCATAAAGGACAGAAGAACAGGGGATAGATTACTGGACTATGCTGCAGCGATCAGATTAACACTATGCAAAATTAGAGAAAAGCCATGGCCAGATGTTAAATTGTTAATTTCATCTACTCAGATGCTGCGAGTTTTGAGGACAAACAAGACAGAAGATATAAGACTTTTTGCTCAGCTAGAAGACATTCACATGTTAAAATGAACTGCTCTTTCAGCTTGGTAGGAAACTAGTGTAATCAGATAGGTAGAAGGTTAAGTGAATATGCAACTACATTAGTGCAAGATGAGGAATATCTAAGTCTTCAGTGTCAAACAATACTATTGTAAAGCTCCTTATGGGCTATTGCTCAAGTTGTATAGCTTGTTTTGATATCAATACAGTTCCTAACATTTCCGTAAACAAATATATATTATATAGGTCAAGCTCAAATTGTGTTTGGCCCAAACTCATAATTAAATACTCCTTCTGTCCAATAGAATTTGTTATGTTTATTACTTTTTCTTATCCCAAATTAGTTGTTATCTTAGAGAAATGTACTCACTTTTTTTAATGAATTTACCCTTCATGTGGCCCACTTTGATTAGCCTATATTTTACCGATTTTTAGTTAGCTTTTAAAGTAGGGTTTTGGTGTGTTTTAAGTTAAAATGGAAGAATTGAGTTTCTTTATAAGTTACTTTTCATACAAGTAGTGTTTTTTAACCAAAACATACAAAAGTGTGGGTTAATATGCAAATTTGTGTTGTTTTTGTAGGTTTTGATATATTATGAATAGATTCAAGTCAAACGGAGTTTGACAGTTTTGACATATCTTGGTATTTTGATTATATCTTGATCTAAAAGTATTAGATTGAGGTAATTCTTTAGCCATTTTGAAACTAAGACATAGCTATACAATTATTCTAAAGAATTGAAATCCAGTTCATTGATTTTTCTAGTCAACAAGTTGAAATACAGTCGAGAAAATTTTCTGTCAAAAGCTGAAACATGGCAACTATTAGTTAGGGGTATTTTTATCATTTCTAAGCCTACAAAGATCCAAATGAGATTATTCTTGATGCATATGAAAGGTAACTCAAACAGCTAAAACTTTTATGATTTGTACAAGAGCTAATTCGGCTTCCATCATCAAGAAAATTGCAATTGAAATTAGTTCAAAAACAGAGCAAAGTTGAATTTTTAGCTGAAAGTGCAAAACTGAGTGAAAAGAAGAATCTTGAGGTGATCTGTGTGGTGCACCTTGCGGATCTAGCCTCGTTGATCCCTTAGACAAAGTTGCAACTTGATTCTGCAACTTGCATTCATTTAACACTATTTTGTGGACCAATTTTTCTGATAGAATCCGACTGGAACTAGCTAAACTTGAGTTGGAAAAGTAAAGAACAACTCTATGACCACATTGGCACATTTTCTCATCCAAAATAATCTATGAATATGTGACAGCCCCACTTTCCCCTAAGGCGAACCAAAGGGGTTGGCGGACTGCCTGCCCAGCTCTCGCCAGGACTACGGATCAGATTAGCGCGATCTAATACTTTTCGGGTCATACAACCGCGTGAAAACCAGTCGAATCCACAAAATAAGAAAAAAAACAAAGTCGGAGTCGGCCATGAAGAGGAACCGACACGTCAAAACCCAACCAAACGTCAAGCAAATATTTACATCTCACAAGTTAGCATATACTTCCCAAAAGGGGCATACCAAAGTGATTCAAAAGTGGATACATGTACGGTTTGCCAAATCCAAAAGAGAAACGGACCAATAGTACATTTAGGGTTTTAATACATGAGCTATACAAAAGATATGTCCAACTAGCTCAAGTCGGCAACCGATTATCAAATCCAGTCCAAAAGTATTTATTTTTCCTGTAAGGAAAACAAAAGGAACAGAACGGGGTGAGCTTGCGCTCAATGAGGTACCAAACAGATAGCAATAAAGTCATGGCATTTCACATTTTACAAATCAGATACACATGTCAGATGTAAAGCAAAGGAACTAATGAGTCAAATCAGAAGGATACGGGTGGCTCTCAGGAGCCAAATTTCCAGTGCAGTACTTGATCCAAACCGGTTGACTCTCTGTCAACGCATATAGAACCAACGCGTCCGTAGACCCCTCTTTACACCGAATTCCGTCCACCAAACACCCCTTTACCGGGCCCGCTCACCGTAACCGAACAGAAATGGTAATACTCGAGTATACCGGAATCAAGGGTCTCAATACCCAAAAATCCCCGAACAGACTACCGTGGTTCGTTATCTAATCGTCCAGGCCCTTGCCGGCCCGACTCGAATAACTTAGCCACAGGATTGAGCTCATAAGTCATAGAAATCCGAACAGATGCAGATACAGATAACAGATTCAGATACAGATACAGAATAGCAGATTCAGACGGCAGATTCAGATAGGCACTCAAAATTGGCATATGAACAGATAAAAGAACGAGTGTGATAAAGTACACCCTCGTCTCAAACAAATTTAACAAATTACAGAGCAGAAATCAAGTTAAACAGCAATGAAGGGGAGTGGTACACTCACCAATTCAACTTCAAAAAGTTTCACTTCAGATTGGCCTTAATCGCCAAGAAACCCTAAAATAATCAAAATAAACCAATTGAAGGTTTCATATCTAAAATCGAATAAACGGAATGCACAAGTGAGACATACTAATGCAAGGGTACAAAAACATGATTTTCTTGAAAACGAAAAGTTAGTATGAAGACTTAGGCACAAACAACCCAAAAGCCTTTCATTTCCACAAAAAGGCCAATCCAACTTAAAGAAACCAAACGGCCTAGAAAATTGGGCAGCACTTCCCCTAAATTTCTTACTTTTCCAGCCATTAAGGCTTCATTATATCCTCAAATCAGTCCCAACATTTCACACAAAAGTCATCTCATTTCCCAAAAGCCGTTCACTAGGCTCAAAGTAATACAAGTACAAAACTTAGCTAGGAAACAACCGAAATGAAAGCAAGCCCCAAAAGAGACTCGATAACGAGTCATATAGCCATGCCAACCACAACCCCAGTAAGGTTTCATATGCATAAATAAGCATTAAAGCAAACCAGAAAATCAGGAAATGTAACTCATTTGTTCCAACAATAAAAACAGTTTTGACCTCCTAATGCGGTAATGGCGTCAATTTCACTACGATTATCGGATGGGGGTGTAAGACCCACCGTTTCGAAGCTATGAAACAGGGATACAACAATGTAGAAGGTCACTCAATCCAGTTCCTGGCCCAACTAGGTCAAAAATACGAAATACTATACCAGAATTCCCAAAACAGGTTTGCAAAACGCAGAAAACTGTAATCGGTATATCTCAGTCCATACTAGTCCAAATGCCGAAATTCCAAAGGCATATGTTAGCTAAGACATTCAGCTACATTTCATCAGAAGACACCAACTTCAAAATCCAAACCAATTCCAGTCAAAATGGCCAAATACAAACGCAGTTTTCGCATTCTGTCCAAAGCAGAACAGCTACAGTAATTTCGTCATAACTCACTCTACACTAATCCAAATGCCCTGAAATTTTACAGGCACCTCAAACACATCAATACCTACAACTTTCATGTTTTGAGCAAAGTCTAATTCGGCCTCTAACCCAGTGATCTAAAACCGGACAGAATTGGGAATAATAAGAACCCTAACTTTCCATTTTCCATCCAAATCCAAAATTGATTGCAAATACTTATCAAACATACCTACTAGAGCCATTATAGTCCATTGCCAATCATCAAAGATGGCCACAACATTCATTTCATATTACACCAGAAAATTCATCACAAAATGGAAAACTTCACCAAAACTCTTCAAATCAAGAAATAAATCATATATTCCAACACTTATGCCACCCTTAAGCACAAAATAACCATCATTAAGTATAAGGAAGTAGTAAAACATCACTTACCTAAGAACAAGAGGTGTAGAGAGGTTGGCCACCTTAGAGCTTCAAACAAATTTCACTACAACCCTTACTAGCACTAGAAGATAGGATTTTATGGAGTGAAATCTAGTCTAAGCTTTTGTTTATGGAAGATTGAACCAAATGGAAGCTTGCAAAATGATGAAGTTCTCTTCCTTCTTGAGGTAAGAGGGCCGGCCATCCAAGGTGAGAAAATGGGGATTTTTTGTGAAATTTTTAGATATTTAACCAATTTTGGTCAAAAGTCAAAAAAAATGAATAGTGTTCCATAAGCTTCAACCCATAAGATGGTGACACTTGTCACACCATTAATGCAATCCTATCCTTTCTTTTCTCTCTCACATCAATCATTTCACACACTCTACTTATCTCTTAACACCCGATAAATTTTACACAGTATCCGGAATTTAATCTAATTGGCCGAATTTTTCC